AGTATCAGATCAGAATGTTAGGGATAGAGAATTAGTGCTTGCCAGACACTTTTTTAAATGAGGGAGTTTGCATTTCCAAGTCATTGTTGGTGATCCCTAAAATTCTGCACTTTTTATGAAAATGGAAAGAGCCATTTAAAAATAACAAAGCAGGGGCTGGAGAGGCGTCTCCCTGGTTAAAAGCACTGGCTGCTCTTACAGAAGACCCTCATTCAATTCCCAACACCCATATGGCAGTTTACAATCAGCCTAACTTCAATTCCAAGGGATCTGATGTCCTCTTCTGGCCTCCGCAAGCACCAGGCACATACATGGTGCACAAATACATACTTAGGCAAAATACTCATGTACATAAAGCTTTTTAAAAAGCCGACTAGCTTGAAGGAAAAAAAAAGAAAGCCTTGCTTTTAAGGAAATATATTGTTAACACAAATAAGGTAATGAGACTGAAAAGAAAATATCCAAAGTGCCAGACATACAAAGCACAAGTGTGCAGAGGAGGACTGACTGTGTTTCACAAGGGCAAGTGGGACCTAAGCCCCCTCCCACCCATACACACTCCCCCCCCCCCCCGCCACCCATACACACAATGACTATATTCCAGGTGACAAAATGACCTAATGCAAAAGTACAAAGCATTCTCTAACCATAAAAATTTTGTTGGATAGATGGCACAGTGCTGTACAAGTGTAAGGACCAGAATTCAGATCCCAGTATCTCAGAATACTAAGGCCACAGACAGGAAGGGCGTACTGAATGCCAGTCTAACTGAAAAACATGAACTCTGGATTCAGGAACAGACCCTATCTCAAAGGAATAAGGTAGTATCATAAAGGAAAACATGACACCCACATGAGGACAGCACATACACACACGCATACTCACACACACACACACACACACACACACACACACACACTCATACGCACGCACACACGCAAGAACTTAACTCCTCTGGAACTGAAGTTACCTATGGTTGCTGGCCACCATGTGGCCCAACATGTGGAGTGTAGTGGCTTGAGTAAGCGGGTACCCCATAAGTTCAGATACCTGAATGCTTGCTCCCCAGCTGGCAGTATCTGGGGAGGTTTAAGTGTGGTCTTGTGGAGGAAATGTGTCACTGGGGCAGGTGTTGGATGTTCATAATCTCACCCCTTACCCATTTCCCTCTGCTTCGTGATCACAGTTAAGGATGTGAGCTCTCAGTATCCTGCTCTGGCCACCATGCCTGCCACTTGCTGGCATGCTTCCCCACCATGAAGGACTCTTTCTCTTTCTGAAATTATAACCCCAAATAAATTCTTTAGGCCACCCTGGTCATGGTGTTTTATCACAGAAACAGAAAAGTAGTAAGAGGAACCAACGCCCTCTTCTGACTTCTGTGGACAATGCACATGTGGTACCAACATACACATAGACAGAACACCCATACAGAACATAAAATTGCTTAAAAAAGACTGTGAAATGATAACTTCTGGGCAGGAAGACTCATTTTAAGAAACCATACACACTAAAAAATACAAAATTTAAAAACCTCCACTAAATAAAAATTTAGATAGATTTGCCCTTAAGTATTTTTTATCAACACACCATAAAAAGGATGAAATATCAAAAGATGCAAAGGATATTTATAGCAAATATAACTAAACAAATATTAAGTTATTTGACTGAGTACCAAAAGTTAAATCCATGCATTTGTATATGTACCAGTTAGGAAGCAGAGAGAGCTAATAAAACACAATAAAAAAAGATGGACAGTATGCAAATAGCATGCAAAAAGCTCTTCTGAAAAAAAGCTAAGTGTGTGATGACAGCTCAATGCCATTCCTAATTAGCAGAACGCAAAATAAAACCGATGTTATGATATGAAATGCCCCCATAGGTCCATGTGTTTGAACACCTGATGCTAGCTGGGGTGCTGTTTGGGGAAGGAGAACCTGTAGGAGGTAGAGCTTTGGTGGGAGAAATGGATCACTGGGGGTGGGCTCTAAGGTTTTGCACCCTGACTCCACTTCTGGTATGTGACATCTGATTAAGTGACTTCACATTCCTACTGCCAGGGCCCCTATCCCCATGATGGAATGTATCCCCTCTACAACTATAAACCAAGTAAACCCCTTCTCCTCCAAAGTTGCTTTTTGTCACAGTTTTCTATCACCACAGCAGAAAAGTAACAAATACGGCGACAAGGAATACTTAAATAACATACAATCTGGCAATGCCAAACAAATGGAAATCTCTTATACCATTGAGAGGTGAGGAGAGTAGAAAATGTTAAAGGCGGGCAGACATCGGAACCCAACCACTCCACTCCTGGATTACATCCTACAAAATGTGTTCAAAGCCAGACATAGTGACACACTTCTAATCCCATGCCACGGGAAGGCAAAGGCAGAGCTATCTCTCTGAGTTAAAGCCCCGTCTATAAATTGAGTTCCAGGCCAGCTGGGCTAGAGTGAAACTCTGCCTCAAAACAAAACCAAAAATATTAAGATGTATACAGACTGTCTCAATGCTTTCCATGCCTCAAACTCTAATGGTGTCAATCACAGAAGAAACTACATACTAATGAAATGGAACATATTAACCATAATGAAAATTAACCACATGACCTGACATGAATTCCCTAAACTACATTGAGTGAAAGACACCAGGAACAAAAAAGAATGACTGAATCTTATAAAAGTCTGGAATGGACATGCAGATGGTAAATAACAGAAAGGATTCAAGAGATGTTGTCACTGCATGCAGATGGTAAATAACAGAAAGGATTCAAGAGATGTTGTCATTGTCAGGACAGCAGTGGCTCCTTTGGGGAGGAGACTGTGCCAAGAACAGACACACAGAGAGGGAGGGTTGGAAACAGTTTCCCTGAATCTGCTTTGATCAAACGGCTGTTGCTTTATCCATTAAGTTGGTCATAGTTTATATACTTTTATGTGTGTATTGTGTGTCACAAAACTTAAAGAGGACTTGTTCTACTGAGTAGTAATTCCAATTAAAGCCATAATGATGAATAGTTTGAAAATATTAAGGGCCAGGAAATAGGCCCAAGACATAAAAGGCACTTTTATAGGACTGTGCTATCCCATTAAAGTGGACTTACAAAGCAGAGACATGGTGACTTCTGATACTGAACCAGCTGTTAAACATTCTGCAAGAACTGACAAGCAGCTCTTTCCTCAGCCAGTGTCCACAGGTAGATGAAATCTGAGTTGGAGCCATTGCTCTTTCATCCCAAGGCTGTTCAGACTAAATGAGTTGATGTATGGAAACAAAAAGTAAAATCCCTCCCCAGTGAAAGGCTAACTATAAAAAATGAGTAAGGGATTGGAGAGATGGCTCAGCAATTAAGACCACATACTGCTCTTGCAAAGGGTTCCAGTGCTATTCCCAACACCCACAACTGTCTCTTGAGCTCAAGGCCAGCCTGGTATATGTAGCTGAGTTCCAGGATAGTCAGAACTACACACTGGAGAGTGGGGAGGGACATACAATGACATGGGAATGACACACAATGGACATGGGATGGGACAGGGATAGGGATACCACAATAGGAGGGGGTGATAACAAAAAAACAAAACAAAACAAAAATGTTCTTTGAAGCATACAAGCAAAGACAGACTCCTAGATAAAGCCAAGATAAAACATCATAAACTATATTAAAAGGCACATGAAGGCAAACAGCCCAGTACATTTGCATGACAAAGGGTGAAAAGATGGAGATCCTTTATTCATCAGAACTGATAAGCCAAGGAGAAGGGACAAACTCTCCAAAAGATTGCAAACATGGATAAAGTCATTCTCAGAATAAGTTCTTCAAAGAGTAGCAGTCACTATCCTAGTAAACCTAAAAAACATCCACCCTTCATTAAGAAACATGTATTTTAGAAGCCATTTTAGGAAATGGCTCAGTGGTTGAGAGTGCTGGTTGCTCTTCCAGAGGACCTAGGTTCAGTCCCCAGCACCCACATGGCAGCACACAACTGTCTGTAACTCCAGTTCCAGGGGATCCAACACCCTCATACAAACATGCGGGCAGAAACACAATGCACATAAATAAAAACAAATAATTAAAATGTGTTTTAGATGTAGTCCTAATCACTCAATTTGCAAATGATTTTTAAGTATTAACTTTAAATTGTTTATTTCTAGTAGGACTATAAATAACCTCTGTAGTGAATAACATACACTAAGATCCTCAAAAACTTACCTTATCCTCACTTAGAAATTTCACTTCTAAGCTATGCAGGCCTGTAATCCCAACTACCCCAGAGGTTGAGGCAGGAAGAGCAAGTTCAAAGCCAACCTGGGTAACTTGGTGAGACCTTGTCTCAAAAATCAAGTCAACTGAGGCTGGTGATGTAGGTCAGTGCTAGAGCATAGGCTCAGCCTGCACTGGGCCCTAGGTTCAATACCAGCATCATGAAAAAGAACAAAACAAGTTCATTTCTAGAAAAGATCTGGGAATAAGCAAGATGTGATATCCTTGCGAGGTGTTGGTCATATCACCACTCACTGATTATACTACCATCATTTAGTGAACTACACAATTATTTAAAAAGCTATGAAGCAGCCATGTAAAGCACTTTGTGACTGAAAAACTTTCAATACAGGACAATGTCTGCAAAGCAAAGCACACTGAGAATATACATAAAATGACTGTGAAGAAAGAAGTCAAAGTATGAACACTCAAGTATTAATAGACAGAGTGGTCAGCTCACAAGGGGATGCCTGCAACTTCATGCATATGCATGAGCTCTCCTTTACCAATCTATAGTTCATCTATAAATAACGAACACCACGGGTTCCACCTAGTTCTTACAGCAGCCCTTTCTTAGTGGGAGGGGTATGGAAAGTGCTTATGTCAGCTAGAAGCATCCACTATGGAATCTTCACGTGTATCTGACCTAAATGTTTTCAGTCCAATTTTATATATGAACACTGCTTTTAAAGAAGTAAAATTCAAACAAGTACCACAAAATATAACCATTAGCGTGTGAAGTTGTTTTGATTGTTATTTTATTTTTTTCTTTATAGGTTCCACATAATAGACAAAGGTTTTTGATAACATATTGTTATCTTTGCTGAAGATGATATGATCATTTAAACAACACAAATGTGTACATATATGAGACTGAGGTTTCTGCAGCCTATAAACACCTCTTTGGGTTTAAAAAGGAAAAAAAGCAATACACTGACAACTGTAACGCTTAGAAAAACAGCAGTTTCCTTAGCAAACACGAGCGCCCTGTACATGGACCTATCATCCAAGACAGCAATGAGCTGGAGAAGGGAAGAGCAGCTAGCTCCCCAAACCAGCTCAGAACACCCTCCCCACCCAGAGCTTCCTCAAGGTGCTCTTATCTTCACCACAGGAAGACAGCAGTCACCCCAAAAGACAGGAAGAGCAAATAAACACTTGTTGTAAAAATCAAGTGTCTTCCTCAATATTTCACACCCAGCATCTCAGGAACTCCATGCAAGCATGCGTACCATTCTCTAGACTGCTCCTTGCATTTATCAAGAAAAGAAACCAGGTCTTCCTAATTAATTTTTAGGTGCCTGGGATAACAAAGTATTTTACCAGAAGGGATGTAAGCAACACTATTTGATAAGAGTAAAAATAAGGAAAAAGCAGCTATCTTAAAGAAAAAGTGTGTTTTACTCACACTAAAATATCAGACCAATGCACAACATACTGCAAAACTGTAATACAATACGGTCAAACACAATGTTGAAATATTAAACTGTTCAAGCACATGAAGATCATCTTCCGAAAGACAAACTGGGCTCTTACTTTGTAGCTACCTTTGTGTAACTTTAAAAACTGCTGTCCCTCAACAAGGTCTGACACTGATCTTGATACTTGGTAGGAAGTTTGCTATGAGGCAATGACGGCTCAACAGTCAGCTTTGGAGATAACTCTCCCAGTGCTCATCTTCAGAATTCATCCGAGGACTGGGCATCATCTTCATCCCTCACTTCTCGGTATCTCCCTGAAGACTCCCCTTCTGGATTGTAGCTCTGCATTTTAATATTCAGTCTCTCAGCTAGTTTCTGTGCTGCGAGCTTTGCTTGCATCTCCTTTAAAACAAAGAACAAAGCCCAATTACACATGCATAACTCCCCTTACAACAGTTCAACAGGGTCCAGGCTAAAGGAGTATAATTCCCACTGTCTCTAGCAATATAGGAAGTTCACAGCTGTGTCCTGCCAGACATGGGGGGGATATATCTGAGAGCTGTCAGTCTGCTGCAGTTGATAGTGACTTCTATTACCAAGCAATGCTGCAATCAAAACAGCTTACCCCTGCACAAGAAACTGAGACATCAGTTTGGCACTCCAGTAGCTGTGAACAGATCCACTAAGTGTGGCACTAAGTGTGAACCAGCTGCCTGTATGATGTGCCAGTCTCCAATGGACACACTCTCTTCTCTACATTAAATCATGTTCTCTAGGTTTGAAGAGTACACCTTAATGGCACAAAAGAGCCAAGATGTTAAGGCTGCTGACTGCTCCTCCATAAATAAAGTCTTACAGAAATTAACATTCAAAAAGGTCCAATTTCAGACTAGCAGTGGACTTTTGCACATAAGGATTAGCACCAACTGCTGGCAGGCTCCCGGGCTCTTCTCTCATTCACCCACTACCACAACCCCCACACCTCCACACACTCCTGAACTTTAACAGCTCCTTTCCTCAGCCCAGGGATATTATGGGTAAGCACAATTGGTATCTACTTTACTATTCTATCAAGGCAACCCATTTCAGAAGGGTTTAACCAAAAAATGTCTCAAGACAAGTACTTAAAAAAAAAAAAAACCTAGAGACAATTCAGGTCTCTCTCCTCCAGCAAAGCAGTTGGGTCTGATGCTAATTCTAATGCACTGAGAGGAAGAAACACCAAGGGCCATAAAGACATCAGTCTGCCAGCTGAATGCTCAGGAAAAGCCAAGCAGAGGAAAAGCTAGTTTGACTTTAACAGGTGTAGGCACTTGACTAAAATCCAAACAAACAATTCAGGAGAGCAGATGCTGTTTTCCCAGAAAATCACTGTTACACAATTTAACCAAAACTAGTATCCACACTTCTCCCATCCTGCTATCTGAACACAAACTTTGCCAATATTTTACATTATATTTATAGACAGGATCTCATCACCTGTTTGCTGTGTAGACCAGGCTAGCCACAAACTCAAACGGATCTGCCTGCCTTTTACCTCCCAATTGCTGGAATTAAAGTGATAGGACTAAAAGTATGCGCCACCACAACTTAATATCCATTTTAAAGTCTATGCAAACACAGTACTAGACATAACTGATTAAGGCCCAAAGAGGAAGGGCTTCTATTCACAAGGGCCACAGATCAAGCAAGGACCCCAACAGTGGCTAGCAACCCAGCATGATCGCCTGCCCTTCTGGGCTAGCCCCTGCACTGTAGGAGACGGGAAGTGGAAACTGTCTCCCTAAACAGGTCCCCGAGGATGCTCTTACCGCTGAGAAGCTGCCACATGAGAGAGGCATATGCTGTCCCAGCAGCAGCAGAGGCTGCTCCATGTCACTCTGATCCTCTCCCTGAGTCTACTGGTGAATTACTACTGAGGTTTCCTACAGTTCTAGTACCTCTGTGACTGAAAACTAGTAGCATATCTCTAAAACTCCATCCTTCTATTTGCCCCAAAGTCAAATCTGACTCCTGCAGCAGCAGCCAACACACAGACATGAGATACCCAAGACTCCACAATTACCTCATAATTCTGTTTCTGCTCCTTCTGCAGAGCCAGCGACTCTTCTATGGAGAGCAGCTGTGCAGGCAGGTGGTGGAGCGGGAGGAGGCGCGCTGCTGTGATGTCATCAAGATGTTGCCTAGCCCTGCGTCGCCGCTCTTCTGAGGAAGGAGACTCATCCCTCTGACAATGACTTGGTGAGTCACTCTGTTGTGTGAGTAACCTGAAAAAAAAAAAAGTATGCAATCAGACTGTGTATAGGCACAAAGATGGTCTTTCACCAGGAGTCAACTGATTCCCATAGGGTAGCAGAATGAAGTCTGCCCATACTTAATGCTGACAATGAACGCATACACAAATACAAACCCACCTTTCCTCCTCACACCTTATACTCTCTGTTCATTCAGAGAACACTTGTAAGAGTTTAATGCCTAGCAAAAGGAAGTAAACATAATATAGTGGAATATAATATAGGCACTGATAGGCTGACCAGTTCTGAAGGAAGAGGTTGGAAGTTGAGGCTAGAGGGAGAACGTTCTCCTTCAAAGATGATGGTAAGATCAAGACACCATGTAGGTCATGGAGGGGTAGGGGTGGTGGTGTATGACACAGACTGTCACTATTAACTTCATGAATGTGGAAGTCTCCAGAAGAAACTGGCATTCTGCTATTTAAATGAACTAAGATGTCACTAAATACCCAAGTGGTCCTATTTCATAGCTAACTGACCATCCACCTCTCAAGGTCCCTGCAAAGTGAGCCATGAGCAGATGAGGCAGTCTCCAGTACCTAAATACACAAAATCAGAAAAAGGTCAGAGAACTAGCACAGTGGTTCTCAACTTTCCCAATGCTATGACCTTTAATACAGTTCATGTGGTGACCTACATCATAAAATTAGTTCATTGCTACTTCATAACTGTAAGTTTATTGTTATTATAATATAAATATATGATATGCAGGATATCTGATATGTAACCCTGCCAAAGGGTCACTGAACCCCAAAAGGAGTCACAACCCACAGATTAGGACTGCTGCTAGCACACCCTCAACTCACTGTGCACTCAAAGTTCCATTCACACACAAGCCCAATGTCATGTATCTGTGGCCAGATGCAGCCTCTCCTGGTCTCTTTTATGCACAGGCTACCCCTTCTCTCACACTTACCAATCCTGGTGGCCCTCACTGTTCATTCGTCACCTTCCCTATTCCTGGCCCCATAGCAGTAACTGGGCCACCTTACTCCTTTTGACATACCTGGTCCTCCAACGTGACCTCCCAGAAGTGAAGACAAAGTGCTTGGCACAGAAGAGACTCCTTCATCAAGACACCTTTAGCAAAGGTGTCTTTTCTAGCTAAATATTAACATACTAGGATCTATCTGTTTTTATAAACAGAAAGAACCATTTAAGGTTAAAATAACCAGTGGAGTAGGTTTAAAGTCTCTGCAAGAGCAAACATGACATGGGTCTTTTGACGCTTTCCTAAGAAAGTAGACCAGCCATGTCCCCCTCTGAGTCTGATGTCATCTGAGTAAAGATGGGCAGTTACCTAGCAATACTCCCTGGTAGTTGGCCTAACTGCTACAAACACAATGCTTCTCTCCTCAAAGAGCTCTGGTGATCACAGAAACATTATAGCAAAGAACTCAAAAGCAAGATCCAATCCCCCCCCCCCCAGTTCTCCCCAAATCTATTTTTAGTTAATTTTTTTTAAAAATTCTTTTTTAGTTTCCTTTCTCTGGAAACTAATATCATCTAGCTTAACATTTCTTCTGAGTTTGGAAACCTTAGGTGCTCCTCTAGATTCCAACCTCTTTAAGGAGTAAGATCTTTACTTCACTATGCTCCCTTGGCTCTGCTGTCTACTTGTAGTGAACACACTTTGTTTTGTTTTTGTTTCCTGATGAACAGCCCATTAGCTCCTGCAATTGCCTCTCTCAGCTTACACAGCAATTGAGGGGGAACTGCATACTAGCAAATGGTACTAAAAAGTCATGATACATCTGCCTTCCTACTGTGTTTATTATGAAATATTGGCTAAGTATCTTGAAACACACTACTCCCCATCTGCTATCAGATGCAGTCCTTCAGTGCAGCCATGCTGGTCTATTTTCAGTTATGTTCGCTCCTGCTTAGAAGACCCTCACACAGCACTCTCTGAACTGACATACCACATAAAACATTCTGAGGACAAGCCTGCTCCGTAACACTTACACATTGGTCTTAAACTTATGAGGAGGGGGCACAGGGTTTTTGGCTCGCATTTCTAGCACTTCCATGTAATGAGGCCTCTTGGGAGTTTCACTCCGGAGCTCTGGCACGTTCTCAGAGCTGCTGTTTTCTTCTGAGGGTTCACTCTGGTCTGCAATTGTGATCTTTTGCAACTTAGTGATAAACAGACTGTCAACGCTGCTGGAAAGGTCTTCCACTTGACTTGAAACGGGGCACTGGGGGAGATGTTTGTTAACTTCAGATGAGGGTGCCCTGGCTCTAATGCCGGGAACTGGGCCGGTGTTCACTGTGCAGTCAGCCTCCAAAGTCTCTTCACTGCCTTTGTGAGTGAGATGTACAGGTCCTTGTGTTTCTGAGGTTGTTTTAGATGGTTTGATGTCTACAGAGGAACAGTCAAGAACTAATGATGAAGTATCAAGGATCAGGTCAGAATTCTGGGCCTTGTCTATGTCAATATCAACTCTTGTGGTTGTTTTTTGCCTTAGCTTACAGTCTACACTAACAGGATCAAACAGTTCACTTATCCCTTTAACTTCTCGTTCTGCAATGGCAGCTTTCAGTTTGGCAACGGTGTCCGATATCTTTTTACCTTTGTCGGGCAATTTGCAAATGAATTTTCTGTCAAATGCAAAAAAAAAAAAAAAGAAAGAAACCAACATGTACACATTAGAGCCATGTTTTTAAACAGGAAAACACAGTATTTTAAATGCAAAATGTAATATTCAAAGAAAAGCTGGCTTCTAAGTTTTTTTAAAAAAAAAAATCTGATTTTTATCTGGTCTAAGACAGGAATCAAACATAAAATTATTCTCACACCTCCCTCCTATTAAGGGAGTGCTTTGCAAGGGGAATTAGTTCATCGAATCAGGATTTCAGAAATAAAAGTTATATCTTCCTAATCTAAAATCTGAAATTCTTCAAGTCCAGACAATGACAGCCCAGTGAAAAAATTCACACCTGACCACATGACGAGATGCAGTCAGAACACAAGTTATAAAGAACACAGTACAAAATTACCTTGAAGCTATCTATAAGGAACAACTGAAATTCATAATGAGATTTGGTTCTTAACTCGACACTATCTCTGTACACTCACACATACATTCCAAGCCCACTAAAAGTATGAAATTCTGGTCTTAAGTATTTAGGAAAACAGATACTCATCCTGTACAATAAAAATAAAGGCTACTGGTTTGGTTTTAAAAACACGGTCTCTGATCCCTAATGAAGCTGAAGAATGGCTCCACTGGGTCAAAGGCACTATTTGTCATTTGTCATAAAAGTTGAGTACAACAGGTTTCCCAGAGGTCACATAATGGAATGACATCACTATCTCACAAAGGAAGATGGACTTATGTGTTTTTTGTGAAAAACTTAGTTGTTTCTGTTAAATCAGTAATATTTCTAAAATCAGTATACATAAACAGGAGCTCTTAGAGATGCCCAGTAATCCTTAAAGAATCTAAAAACGTCCTGAGATCAAAAGGTTAATTTATTGCTAATATTAACAACCCATTCTGGAGGGGAAAAAAAAAAATCAAAACACCTGTCTCCAGTAGCCACTGGCCCCTTTTGCTCAGTGAAATACCCTTTCAGGTTATTTTCCTTAGTTACATAACAAATGAAGACCTCTTAGGTCCCCTATTATTCCTGATACCACACCACATTCATGTTTTCAACAGTACTAACACCTCTCTGCAAATGGGCTTCCTCTATTTTTCAGCCCTCTCTCGAGCCTAGTACGCATTTCTCAGGATTTAATCAGTTGGCTTTTTAATTAATTAAAAGCCTGCCATTATTCCCCTCAACTAAATACACCCTGAATAAAAAACTAACGTTGAATCCATTCCTCTCTCCCAATTGTCTCATTATCCTCAGTGGCTCCCCAGAAATTTCAACCACCTGTTGACTGTGAATATATATATTTAACTCCAAATTGTTTCACCAGTACTTAAGTTTTCCCAGGCCCTCGATTGCCTTCATAGTTCACTTTCCCATGTTGCTGAAAAATCTCTTGAAAAATATCCCTTTGGCGTCTTCTGCCTCTTATTACCTCAATCCCGCTAACAAAGCTGCCTTAAAAAAAAAAAAAAAAAAAATCAGCTATCATCATCTACCTTACTACGGGGGGGGGGGGGGGGCCGAAACTTTGTAGGCCTAATTAGCCAATCTTTACAGCTCGCTCTCCCCATCTTCTTTGGTTTGGGAAAGAGTGGGGCTCTAGATGGAGAAGAGGCAATCTACACATTCTGGTCGAGAGAATTTGGTACCCAGGCTCTCTCAAAGCCGTTGTGGGAACATGGGATCCAGCATGCACTGCAGCCTAATGAGGGCCAGGCAGCATGGAGGAACGCCGCGCGCAGCAGGGGCCTGGCCGGGAGGCCTGACCACGCAAGGTCACCTTCGCCCGAAAGGCCGCGGTGGGGAGCGAGCGGCTGGTCTCGGACCCCGACCCCCGAGAGCCTATCCCTTGGTCCCGATTCCCGGCAACCGCGACCGACCCCCGAGCCACCGCTTACTCGTTGCGCAAAAGTCTCTCCTGGCGCCTCAACCTCTCCCGCAGCTCCGCCGAACTCCGCTGCCCCAAGTCCTCGGGAGCTGGGGGCTCGAAGCCGCGGGGCAGCGAGAACATTGTGCACGGGCTGCGGCTGGCGCGGCGGGCAGGGCTCCCCGGCGGGGCCCACGGCGGGCGCAGGCTCCGCGGCCGGCGGCGACTCTGGCGCGCGGGCGGGAGTCGCCATTTTCCCGGAAGAGCACGGCTTCTTCGAGCCGAATGGAGCTTTATTGAAATGCCGGAAACGGACCGGGCAGGGGGCGCCCGAGGAAGAAGGCAGGGGCGGAAGTTACATCACCGCAGAAGGGTCCGGGTTTGGCGCTCTTTCGTTGGGTGTGTGTCCTTTGCTTTCCCAGCTTTTCGACTTCGCTTTGAGAAAGTATAGGACACCCATGTCAAGGACTTACTGACTCACTTCTAATAAGTAAAATATTCCAGAAGTTATAGTGTCACATCTAAAAATTAAGCAATACATTTCACAGATACCTGAATGAACAATAACAGTAAAAATAAATGACAAGGGGGTTATAGAGATGGCTCAGTGGTTAAGAGTGTGCATAGTGCTCTTGCAGAAGACAAAAATTGGGTACCAGCACCCCTGTCGGGTAGCAATTGCCTTTAACTGTATGTACCTTCAGGGCATCTCACAACCTTCTCTGGCTTCTGCAGGCACCTGGTTCACATGCACACACAATTAAAACACAAAAAATAAAGCTTTAAAAAATAATGAATGACCAATATAACTAGCTATAATAAAATGCATATTATAAGCACAATATAGCTAAGTGTGGTAGTGCATGCCTTTAATCCCAGCACTTGGGAGGCAGAGGCGGGCTGATCTCTGTGAGTTCAAGACCAGCCTGATCTACATAGTGAATTTGAGATGGGCCAAGGCTACATAGTAAGTCCTTGTCTCAAAACAAATAAAACAACAAGATTTGTATATTTGAACAAATCAGAATATCAGGAATTAGATTGACCCTGACAACTGTTAGAAAAAAAAAAAAAAAAGAACTGAGATTCTTATAGACTGCTAAATGGGGAGGGGGCTGTAGAACCACTTTGGAAATACTTTGTTAGTTTCTGAATCTGGCTTCATTAATGTTTAGTGTAATGATCCTGAAGTTCATCTATGCCGATGTTTCTTTATATTGCTAAGTAGTACTGTACTGTGTGTGTTTGTTTATGCTGAAGGATGGTTGAGTTGTTTTCAGTTTTTAATGATCATAAATCAAGTCACTGTCAATATTTTTGTATAGGTGTTCGTTGTTATGGTGGAAGCTTCACCCCAGCTCCTGGCATCCATATACCCAGAGTCTGGAATGTTATTGTGGAAGTTCACCTAAGCCCCTTTCCCCTATCTTCCTCCAACCCCTGCTGAATCTCAGAAAGCCCGCTAAATGTTGACCCCTCACCTAGAGATGCTCAAGAACACTTCCACAGGGTATTTAAACTCCCCCCCCCCAGAAAATAGACTTGTGGTTTTCTGGTCTCTCTCTCCCATCTCCTCTGCAGGGCTGGAAAGCCACCCAGGAGCATTTTATACATTAAATGTGGGGTTTTTCTAATTCGGTTATTTGGATTGTTGGATCAGTGAAGAGGCTTATCAGGGTGCAGAAACTTTTCATTCATATCAACATAAATTTTCATTTCTTCCTCCATTTTTTTTTTTTTTTTTTTTTTTTTGGTTTTTGTTTGTTTTTTCAACACAGGGTTTCCTCTGTGTAACAACCCTGGCTCTCATGGAACTCACTTTGTAGATCAGGCTAGCCTTGAACTCACAGAGATCTGCTTGCCTCTGCCTCCTGAGAGCTGGGATTAAAGGCTGTGACACCACTGCCTGATTTTCATTTCTCTAAGATCAGACTTATTAGGACATATTATCAAAAGGGACAGAAAGGAAGAACAGTCCCATTATGTTGCCTTCAGCAGCCTGAGAAGTGCTTCTAATCTTTTAGGACTTCAACTCAGGTCAAACCAAGGTTTGCAGCTTTAATGCAGAAAATATTCAGGACTCGAAGAATAGGAGTCTAATAAAAGTATTTTAATATAGGCTTAATTGGGAGTCTTACAAGAGGTGCTCAGAAAGAATGTGTGACATACCTAGATGTGGACATGGCCTTCTCAAGGGAGAGCCACCATTCATTGCTCTTTACAATGCTTATACTTGATGGCTTTTGAAGCTATTATCTTTATAGCATTGCTAAGAAATCTAAAAGAGACCACAGGGTGTGGTTCCTGAGTGTTAGGTGTCAGGAAGTCCATATGTCCAGAAATGAAGTCAAACTGGACTATACAGGAATTTTTGGGTGGTTAGATAAAAGCCAGCATTCTGCAAAAACTTATGAGATGGGTTTTCCATCCCCAAGAGTACCTCCCCACAGCTACTTGCCCTATTTATAATCATCGTGATTTATCCACCCCACACTTCTCTAGTGCTCTCTCACTATTCTCTATCTCTTGCTATTTCCATTATTCTCCCCCCACCCCCCAGATCCCCAACCCTGGACATGTCTAGTCTGCTTTTTCTCTCAGCTCTGAACTCTTCCATATGCCTAGAGATAGTTTCTCTCTCTCTCTTATCCACAATAAAGCCCTTGCATCTAATAATGGAGTGCTAATGTTAGAAGTTCCTCTACTGTGCCCCCTCACATGCACTGACAAGATTACAATTGATAAGGAAAATAAATAAATAAATAAATAAATAAATAAATAATGCAAACCATAGGGATGCAGGAAGGTAGGGCACCTTCACTGTAAACAGAGTTAACAGCCTTGTTTGAGACACTCAGGAACTGTAGGGAATAAATAAGGACCTGCTCAAAGTCAAACACATTCAGGACTTAAGCCTGCTATTTAAAAATGAAGTCTCTCCATATTATATCTCTGCCAGCAACATTTGCAGCAAGTGTGCCTGAGTTCTTGCTTCTCAGCTGCAAGAGACTTCCATCAGACTTCACGGCGAGGGGATCCTTTCCCTTCCCCTGTCCCCATAATTTTCCCTGTCTTTCTGTCCTGCCTCAATATGAGGGAATGTTTAACTTCTTAAGAAGCTATGGGGTGA